ATAAAAATTCTGAGGAATCGTCAGTGTAGAGAGGATAATCAGATTGTCGTCGAGGCAAAACACAGGTTTTGAAATAGATCTAACAAATTTTAGAGTTGGGCCTGGGTATATAATTCTGTTGTTAAGCGGTGAAGCTAAACTGAATAGAGCAGAATATTTGGTCTTGACCAAAACATCCCGGCTGGGCGGTGTGGAATTTTTTCTCTCTAAATTTTAGAGATGGGCGATGTTTTAAAAACATCGATGTTGCGAATCGATGTTCCAGGAAAAAACATCGATGATTTAAAAAATCGATTAAAATAATTTTTTTCTTCTCGGTTTTATTGAAAAATATACAGGCGAGACTGGGGTAAAACGGACACTTTTGACTTTTTTAAAAATGTTAATGAGGGGTTGAAATGTTGATAAACTTTAATAATTTTTTTTTCAATACAAAGAACAACTCTGTCTCTTTGTGACGAGCCTAAATTGATCTCAATTGATAAATTTGTTTCTGAGTTATAAATAATTTTAAAAAGTCTGAAGTGTCCATTTTACCCCACCCTCCTCTATTCAAAAAATACAACCCGAGGAACTTACGTTTCAATAATAAACACTGCTGGAGAGTTAAATTTTTATTAATTGAAGAAAATATATTGAATATTCTCCATTAGCTACAATAATACTCAAAAATTTTAATTAAAAAAAAATTGAAGAATTTTAATTAAAAAAAACAATAGACCACTGGAGTTGTTCACTTCTCATTCATAACTAAGTTTTCATTCTCTTAGATTTTTTTTTTGTTCCCAAGACGATTGAGCAATTAGCAGAAATATCTCAATTGATTCATCATTTCGCTTCAAAGTTCATGTTTTGAAAAAAATGTCGAGAATTTTTTTTGCTGGAAGTTTTCTCCTAAACTCTATATTTTTAAAATAACAGCAATTAAAAGGTGTTTCGTCTGTAGATCACCGGGGGGTGAAACGGAAGGGGAGTCTTATTGTTCTCGAGCTCTGATTCAATCGCTGAGCACGAAATTTTCCAATTTTCAAGTAACTATTTGAGTGTGCATTTGAACAATTTTTGAATATTGATTTTTTTTTGGAGGCCATGGAAATTTCCCTAATTGAGAGTGGTGTAACCTCGGAGGTTATAGCTGGAGGGGTTACAAAAACATCAAAATTTCATAATTTTTTTCTTGAGACTGAGATTTGAAAAAAATGTGCAAAAATTCTCAATGATGCAACATACTCAGAATTTCCTCCCGTGAATGTTCCAATTTTTTTCAATTATTTTGACTTTTCAATCGAAACACCTTAATTCATCACTCCGCTCCTCTATTCATATTAACTTTCGTTCAGAATTTATCTCAGATTTTTATCTTCAAATGTCAAGCTATGTTTATACTGCTTGAAAAGGTTTCAACAATGAAATCTCCTCGTCAAAATCATTAAATCCCCAAACTCTAAATAAAGAATAAAGAAAACAACAAAACAAGACAAACTTCAGATCCTCAAAAAACCACAAGTCTCATCCATAAAAATGTTGGCCTCCGAATCACTTAATGAATGATAATGCCGTTGCATTTTCAACGTGACACGTTAATTTAATGAAGGCCTGCAACAAGGATAGACTGACAAAAACAAACTCAACTTCTACTTCTCCACTCTTTCAGTCTCCAACAATGTCATGAAGCCTCAGTCGTACCCTTTCCTCTAAAAAACCGTTTGCGGAGTCTCACTCACTAGCGCGAGAAAGATGAAAATAGTCTCTGAACAGAGAGAGACAAACTTCATATGGCAATGTGATTGGAGTTATCGGTGGTATGAGCCAGTTGTGCTCTGGATGCGAGTGATAAATGTTCATTTCAGAGAGAAATTCATATTCTCCTCAATTAAGAAAAAATTCGCTCTCATTGACAACTGAATATTCAATGCATTTCATGATTGAATGCTTCTCCATTTGGATTTCAATTGAATAAAAAAATTGTGGAATAGTGAACAGTAATAATTTATAAATAATAAAAATGAAGAATAAATAGAGGGAATAAAAGAGATAATTGATAAAAGTTCCCAATTGTTCCAGAATAAATAAAAAACTAATTGAAACATTAAAGTCCTCTCATGGAAACTTCTAGTGAACAAAGAGAATAAATCATCATATTTTAGCATAATTTCACGAAACATTGAAATATCGATGACGTGAACTGTTGTAAAACATTTTCCTCGACAAGAATTCGATCACAACCAGATGATTTTGCCTCCCACAACACTTGATACCACAGATGCGCAATTTTAGTTACCATTAAAATAAAAAAATAGTGGAATAGTGAACAGTAATAATTGATAAAGAATAAAAAAGAAGAATAAATAGAGGAAATAGGAGAGATAATTGATAAAAATTCCCAATTGTTGCAGAATAAATAGACGAACTAATTGAAAAATTAAAGTCATATCATGAAAACTTCTAGTGAACAAAACGGAATAAATCGTCCTAATTTATCATAATCCCACGAAACATTGAAATAGCGATGACGTGAACAATAGTGAAACATTTTCCTCGCCCAGAATTCGAGCAAAATCAGATGATTTTGCCTCCCACGACACTTGATACCACAGATGCGCAATTTTAGTTACCATTTAAATAAAAAAATAGTGGAATAGTGAACAGTAATAATTGATAAAGAATAAAAAAGAAGAATAAATAGAGGAAATAGGAGAGATAATTGATAGAAATTCCCAATTGTTGCAGAATAAATAGACAAACTAATTGAAACATTAAAGTCATATCATGAAAACTTCTAGTGAACAAAACGGAATAAATCGTCCTAATTTATCATAATCCCACGAAACATTGAAATAGCGATGACGTGAACAATAGTGAAACATTTTCCTCGCCCAGAATTCGA